TAGCGCGGTCCAGCTAATTCCAGTTTCCAACAATGGTGGCCGCTACTAAGTTTTAAAATTACTCTTATTTCTCTTTCTGGGTCACAAAATAAACTTAACATATTTTCAGGCGAGAAAGTGGCTGTGTAAACTTCAAATATCTCCTTGGTTTATCAAGACATCGCATAAAAGTGCTCCGACGTTTTCAGAGACGTCTGTTACCCACCCGCTCGATAGCTGACCGGGGGGTTCAATGGTCACTCGAGCCGGCGAGAGCAGCGGACTCCCGGCTTCATCGTTTTCAGACCCCCGCTCTTTCGCTACTCATGTTAAACATGATATATAAGTCACTCGGATAACTTAAAAATGTTATTGTTTGCCTTTTTTTCGGTGTGTTATTTGTTCCAGAGCAAATTGGTTTGGCTGAGATCAAAGTTATTAGATTAAATAAAACTTTATTAATCCATCAGGTGGGTTCCTCCGGGATTTTCACACAGCTGAATAAACGTCAAACAGAAAACGGTCCAGAATTTACGCCAGTGCCCTGTTATATTTTAGATGGCAAGGAGCAGACGGCTGAGTTTACTCCACCGAGACAGTGGTGACACAAATCTGAAGGCTAGACTCTCGCATTTCCGGCCTTCTCATTCTTCAAAGGACCTGGCCCACGTAGACCACGAAGGCCAGGTCCTCCGAAGGATGCGGCCTACGTTGTGGGACACAGCTTTTGTGTCTTTCTGTGGTGGAATTAAACTCGGGGCCTTCTTGCTGTGAGGCTATGTGTTAACCAGTGCGCCCGGTGCCTTATTCTATCTCCGACCCACACAAAATGGGGGTAGCTCAGTGCAGCATAAGGGCGCGCCATGCGACCATCAATTTTTATCACTTTGGAAATCTTTGCCTTGTGGGAAATCTCTAGTATTGGGAAGGTTACTTTTAAAACGTATTCCACTACAGATTACAGAATACATGCTCCAAAATGTATTTTGTAACACATTCCATTACATTACTCAATGACAGTAACGTATTCTGAATACTTTGGATTACATAATATACAGGGAGTGCAGAATTATTAGGCAAGTTGTATTTTTGAGGAATAATGTTATTATTGAACAACAACCATGTTCTCAATGAACCCAAAAAACTCATTAATATCAAAGCTGAATGTTTTTGGAAGTAGTTTTTAGTTTGTTCTTAGTTTTAGCTATTTTAGGGGGATATCTGTGTGTGCAGGTGACTATTACTGTGCAGAATTATTAGGCAACTTAACAAAAAACAAATATATACCCATTTCAATTATTTCTTTTTACCAGTGACACCAATATAACATCTCCACATTCACAAATATACATTTCTGACATTCAAAAACAAAACAAAAACAAATCAGCGACCAATATAGCCACCTTTCTTTGCAAGGACACTCAAAAGCCTGCCATCCATGGGTTCTGTCAGTGTTTTGATCTGTTCACCATCAACATTGCGTGCAGCAGCAACCACAGCCTCCCAGACACTGTTCAGAGAGGTGTACTGTTTTCCCTCCTTGTAAATCTCACATTTGATGATGGACCACAGGTTCTCAATGGGGTTCAGATCAGGTGAACAAGGAGGCCATGTCATTAGTTTTTCTTCTTTTATACCCTTTCTTGCAGCCACGCTGTGGAGTACTTGGACGCGTGTGATGGAGCATTGTCCTGCATGAAAATCATGTTTTTCTTGAAGGATGCAGACTTCTTCCTGTACCACTGCTTGAAGAAGGTGTCTTCCAGAAACTGGCAGTAGGACTGGGAGTTGAGCTCGACTCCATCCTCAACCCGAAAAGGCCCCACAAGCTCATCTTTGATGATACCAGTCCAAACCAGTACTCCACCTCCACCTTGCTGGCGTCTGAGTCGGACTGGAGCTCTCTGCCCTTTACCAATCCAGCCACGGGCCCATCAAGACTCACTCTCATTTCATCAGTCCATAAAACCTTAGAAAAATCAGTCTTGAGATGTTTCTTGGCCCAGTCTTGGCGTTTCAGCTTGTGTGTCTTGTTCAGTGGTGGTCGTCTTTCAGCCTTTCTTACCTTGGCCATGTCTCTGAGTATTGCACACCTTGTGCTTTTGGGCACTCCAGTGATGTTGCAGCTCTGAAATATGGCCAAACTGGTGGCAAGTGGCATCTTGGCAGCTGCACGCTTGACTTTCTCAGTTCATGGGCATTTATTTTGCGCCTTGGTTTTTCCACACGCTTCTTGCGACCCTGTTGACTATTTTGAATGAAACGCTTGATTGTTCGATGATCACGCTTCAGAAGCTTTGCAATTTTGAGACTGCTGCATCCCTCTGCAAGATATCTCACTATTTTTGACTTTTCTGAGCCTGTCAAGTCCTTCTTTTGACCCATTTTGCCAAAGGAAAGGACGTTGCCTAATAATTATGCACACCTGATATAGGGTGTTGATGTCATTAGACCACACCCCTTCTCATTACAGAGTTGCACATCACCTAATATGCTTAATTGGTAGTAGGCTTTCGAGCCTATACAGCTTGGAGTAAGACAACATGCATGAAGAGGATGATGTGGACAAAATACTCATTTGCCTAATAATTCTGCACTCCCTGTATTATCAGGCTTTTTACAAATACATGAATGTCCTATTGCTGTGTGATTTATTACTTTTACTGAAGGTTACTCGCCATACCAACACCAACTAGATGTTTAAATCTTAATATAAATGAGTAACAGTAGGTGGACATTAGGTAAGGCTGCACTTTTTGCAGTGATCTCTTATAGAAAACTATTCCGCACGTGTATATAAAACAGGTCCGCGGCTCCGAACTGTAGTAAAGGGACCTCTGGTTAATACGTCGGGTTCGTGTCGGGCTCGTAGCCAAAAACTACCTTTACTTTGTTGTCTGGGTCAACTTTGCTAGCAAGAGACAGAGAGAGGCGTTGAAAGGCTGCTGCAACCGAACTAATTGTTTCGGAGGAAAACACGAACATGGTGTACAGTCGAGTCTTAATAGCTTACTTACAACTGGGCTCGTCAGGCTCTCTTTTTGGCTGCAGTGGTTATTATTATATTTACATGCTTCTCTCCCATTTCTGCTTGATAACAAGTTTTGCTTTTCAACTCTTTTCTCCCTCCCTCGCTCACAGACGCATAACGGATATGGCAGTCCATTCTCCCTGCAGCACGGACTACACTGCCCATGAGGCTACATTCTTTAGGGCTATGCCTGTAACACTCTGCCTGTTGTCTTCATATTAAATAACTTTTTAAATAATAACTTTAAAAAATATTCCTTCACGTCGTTATGCAGCCGCAAGTAGAGGTGACATGGGCCACGAGATTGAGACACAGGCATTAGAGCCTCTTAATGCGTGTTTTGTTTGGGTTTCCAGTGGCGTGGAATTACCAAAAATAGAGAGAGCATAGCCTAATGTATGAAACGGGAAAAGACCGCCGTATAATCCATTCATTTCAACAAAGTAACTGTATTCTGAATATCACCTTTTTAAACGGTAACTGTAACAGAATACAGTTACTCATATTTTGTATTTTAAATACGTAACGGCGGTACATGTATTCAGTTACTCCCCAACACTGGAAATCTTCAATGGAAATAATTACTGGAGTCAGCGGTTCCCTGAGAAAGCCTCGCCATTTCCTACACTCCAGAATCTGCGTCGGACAACGTTCAATGCAGCGAGCAGCAGGCCGCAGTGATGACAGGTCCCAGAACGTCCTCTTTGGCACCGGGACTGGACAATGTCCCACAGCTGGTTATGGCTGCCCCACCAATTCTCTCACCTGGGCTAACAGGTGGTCCTCTGCTAACATCACCACGATGTTCAGGTTGGCCAGTCAGTGGCAGTGCACTTACTCCACGGTGTCTGCTAGGAGTCCCTGCATGAACCACTCGAGCATGACAAAGTCCTGCAGCCGAGCCTTTCCCTGGGGCTGCAGCCATGTGTTTGTGCAGCCAACTGGCATAGGTAAAAGGTCGGTCCTCTCGCCCCATCTGCTCCTTCTGGAAGTGGCAGCTGTGGTCCTCAGGGAAGATAAGATGAAGCATATAGTCAGGGCTCACCATGTGTTTATACACCACTCTGCATTTAATTTTCAGTTATTATTAATCGTGCTTCCACAGCACATCTTTTGTCCCGTCTCCCTCTCCTAACCCTCAACCAGCAGATGGCCCCACCCCTCCCTGAGCCTGGTTATGCTGGAGGTTACTTCCTGTTAAAAGGGAGTTTTTCCTTCCCACTGTCGCCAAAGTGCTGCTCATAGAGGGTCGTCTTACTGTTGGGGTTTTCTCTGTATTATTGCAGGTTCTTTACCGTACAATATTAAGTACCTTGAGGTGATTGTTGTTATATTTTGGCACTGTATAAAAAAATTTAAGTGAATTGAATATGCTAAACTGCACATTTAACATATATATTAATTGAGTATTAGTTATTTTACCTACCTTTATCTTTTTCATTCTTTATTCAGAGTGATGGACTGCAGCTTGTCAGAGAAAAGCTGCATTTCTCTGGTCTCAGCTGTGACGTTCAACCCCTCCCATCTGAAACATCTGGACCTGAGTGAGAACCATCTGCAGGATCAAGGGTTTCAGCAGCTGTGTAATTACCTGGAGAATCCAAATTGTGAACTAGAGACTCTGAGGTCAGGTCGCTGACTTATTTGTAGATTTTGGTAAAAAAAAAATTAATTCAATAAAAAAAAAACTAAATAGATATCTACCTTAGCTGTTATCTTCTATCTTCTTGTCCTGCATTTTTTTTCATGTGTCAGACCTGAAAACATCTGAATGGATAGACAATTTTTATCTCATATCTTATATATTTTCAGACTAAAGGGCTGCCATTTATCAATAAATGGCGGTTCTTTGGTTTCAGCTCTGAAGGCCAACCCATCTCATCTGAAACATCTGAATCTGAGTGAAAACAACCTGGAAGATGCAGTTGTGAACCAGCTGTTTGATTTTGTGGAGAGTCCACACTATAAATTGGAAACTCTTACAGGTTTTTATATCTTTGGTTATAACTTCCATGTTTATGAATCAGGTGATATTACAGAAACACAGATGCAATCTCCATATCTGAAAACTTTAAGATAGCTTGAAATTAGAGTCAATCTCTGAAGTCCCTTTTCCATTAGTACCTACTCAGATCAACTTGGCACGGTTCACCACAGTTTTATGGGTTTTCCATTAGGTCATAGTACCAGATATTTTTTTTTTTTTTTTTTTAAGTACCTGCTCGGCCAGGGTTCCAAGTGATCCCAGCAGGTACTAAAATGTGATCTTGTCAGAATGCTTGCCCTTGATTGGCTGGTCAGTGGTGTCACTTGAGTGTGAGAGCCTTTTTTTTTTTTTTTTTTTTTTTTTTTTTTTTTTTTTTTCTTCAGAAAATTCAAAACTGCCATTTTTTGAAACCCGGCAACGAGGGAAATGGCTACAAAAAACAATGCCATGGTCTCCTGAGTCTGACAAAAAGCCACAAACTCAGCACCAGGTATATCATCGCCTCAATATCCACATTTGTTGTAGCATTTGTGCTACATACTAATTACATCACGGGATGCTCAAAAGCGTTGCTATGGCCACAGCCACGCACATAAGGTAGTACTAGATTGTAATGAAAAACCAGTCAATCCAAGTCAAGTCGTGGCGATCCGTGGCAAGTCAGAGTAGCTACTAATGGAAAAGGGGCTCAAGTTAAGGTTTGCAGTAATGAAGCAAGACTCGTTCCACTCTGGATTTCAATAAACATACACATTCCAGCAATATGTTAATATGTAAGCTGAGAGAAAACATGCTACTTAGCTGCTCCAAATAAGTGCATGCCGCTCATTATACGGGATGTGTTGCATTTTTGTCTGACAGCTAAGTAAGCATTTTGACCACTCAACTATGACTATTTCTTCTTTTCTCTACAGTTATGAGTGATCAAGATGATGTGGGTCCTGAGGGAGAATGAGCTGTGCCTGATGATCCAGAGATGTTGAAGCAATAGCAGCTTGTTTGTAAAGAGGCTCTGACTTTGCCATATTACTGGGAAGAAGTATTTAATTACCGGACTTCATCCAGTGATGACACATGGAATTTAGAATTTAGATGTCTCAGTTAGTAATTTAAAATATTTGGTTCAAATTATTGTGAACAGAAATCCCATTTATTTTATTTTTAACTTGGGGTTTTTTGGGGGGGGGGGTTCTTTTTTGCTTCCTGCCTTGATATAGATTTACATTTAGTTTTGTAGCATACAGTCTTCTTATTACTTTTATGTAATTCCACTTCCATTTTTCCATCAAAGGATCTGTAAACAGCTAAAATTAGGCCCACAGTTGAATGTCCTTTTCCTGTTTCCATAGGAATTCCTCAGCTTGTTGTACTTGTACTTTTGCTATTGGGTTTTGGATAATTTCTTGTAACAACAGGATAAACATGGGATGGAAGGAAAAAAAAAACTTTAGCCTACATAACAAATCAACTATGCTATTAGGTGCCTTTTTCGCCAAGACCGTGAATAGTTTATCTGACAATAATCATGTATATTGTTTGGTGCCTTCTAGAAACAAACAGGAAAAAGAAAAAACACTAATCATTTTTTTTATTCTATTTTTGTGATATTAAAAGTTGTCTGCAGTGTGCATTCTATTACATCCTTAGTTTCTATTGAAAAAAGGGTGTAATTAGTGATTACTATGATTATTCTGATAACTGCATTTCTTATTCCACAATAGCGGAAATGTTTTTCCATTGTCATATTTTTCAATTATTATTTTACAGGTATTTCTTTGGCTACTTTCATAATGTAAAACAAAAAAGACAATGTTCCAAGTGAACTAGGTGCTAATTTTCAGATGCCAGGTCTACATCTAGAATCAAAATGAGCACATACATGTAAAGACAAAAAAAAATAAAACTTTGGTTTTTTTTTTTTATAGACACCAAGACTTTACTTGATTTCGGGCTTGTGTTGTAATGTTTTTTTGTTTGTTTGTTTTTTGAAGATACATGACCTTTCCATGACATCTATAGATAGTTTTTGGTGATGTGTTTCTCCTTAAGATGCATTTTTTTTTACATTTTTAGCATGCTCTCTTTTTTTTTTTTTTTAAGATGAATAAATTAATTTCTCCTCATCTAATATGGTAATCTCCTTAAATTGTCTTAAATTTGTATGGTTTAACTACACTATTCTATGGTGCATTACTGGAATTTGTTCCTTAAACATGTTGTGCTGGAGTAAATTATTTACTCACAATTATTTCTTTTGCTCAACTATATTGCCAAACATATTCACTCACCCATGCACATCATTAAATTCAGGCGCCCAATCATTTTGATGGCCACAGGTTTGTAAGACCACATCTTTAGGATTTGGGCTCAGCTCCTTAGTTCCAGAGAAAGAGACTCTTAATGCTTCAGCATACCAAGACATTTTGGACAATTTCATGCTCCCAACTTTGTGAGAACAGTTTGGGGGATGGCCCCTTTCTGTTCCAATATTACAGCACACCGATGCACAAAGCAAGGCCCCAGGGGGATAAAAGTGGGCTCTGTTCCAGAAAGTACATGTTAGTGTAACAAACTCTGAGTAGATTGAGTTTTCAATTTAGATTCAGAGTTTTCAGCATCAGAAAAACTGATCAGTTAGTTCAATCAATTCTGACCATATGGTCCCTTTTTCACAAGGGGTCACAACAGCAGGTGATTGCCACAGTTGATTATCTTAGATTTGCCAGAGTTTTAAACTGTTAGGAGACCTGGGTCATCGACCCACACTGTAAAATCTAATTAGTTCCCAGAACTCAAAAAAAACTAAGTAAAGCTTACTTAAGATGACTGTTAGGACAACTTATTCACTGCAAGTATGCAGTATTAAGAATAACTTGATATTTCTGAATGTGCTATACTAATTGTTTACCTACTGACAAACATTTCAAGTTCAACTAAATTAAAAAGCAATTTGTGGTAACCTGAATATGATTAAAAATAATTAACACTTTTTGTAATGATGTTAAAATCAGCCCAACAGCCAACACACAGTTCTGCTGAACAACAAACAATTATACTGCCATCATTGTTATAATCTTACAATGAAACAAAGTCTCACATTTAATTATTCAGAAACTAAGTTTAGGCTTTCCACGACTTTGTTTTGCACTTATATAGTTAAAATAAAATGTATTTATTGTTCAGTCACAAGTGCAGTCTCTAGTTTAAACATCACATTTGTTTTTTTATTCAAACACAGGAACTGGTATGTTGTAATATTTAAGGATGCTTGTTTCCACTCCAGGCATTACTGCCTGAATGACTATCATGGATCGAGGTGATCCAAATGTAGGTGCAGAAGAAAGTCTTTAACTTCCCTTAAGTACAGTGGCAGTGGATGTGGGTTGGAGATGCAATGAGCTTGAACCTGCAGGCGACCATCTTCACTGACCACACCATCTGTGACGGAGGACTCATCTCTCCTGGTGTCCTGCAAGCAAACAATCATATTTTTTGGAACATGAACTTAATTGCTTTCTTAAAACATTTTTTTCTGCTGATAGAACAGACCCATATTTAGACAATGTGCCACTTGTCAGTGGATAGCCCTGACCACCACCCGACACACAATAATGTCATGTATATTTTTAAAAAGGGCTATGCATATGGGACTCAAAATGTGGTCATAAATTTGACGTACTTTTGTACTTGTAAATTAGGATTTGTGTGTGTGTAAAAAAAATTGGTGTAAAAGATTTGTGTGTGTAAAAAAGAATGTTTGTAAAAGTTTGTATTAAAAAGATTTGTGTGTGGACTTAGCCAAAAAAACCCTGCAAGTTACAACTACGAATTTTGACCCTATTTTTCTTCCTTTCATCTGATTGGTAATGTCATGTAGATCACGAAATGTAACAAATCAACAGAGAACTAGATGGGTTTGGCTGTCGGTAGGGGCGTTTTTTGAAGCAGAGTCTTATGATCAGTAATATAATATATTATATATATATAACTAATATATTTATAATATATATATATGTATATATATATATGTATATATTATATATTATATATATGTATTATATATATATTATTATATATATGTAGTATATATATGTATGTTATATGTATATATGTATGTTATATATAGTGTATGTATATATATATGTATATGTATATACATATATACATACATATACATATACATATATATATACATATACATACATATACATACATATACATACATATATATACATATATACATATATATACATATATATATATATATATATAAATATATATATATATATATATATATATATATATATATATATATATATATATATATATATATATATATATATATATATATATATATATATAAAAAAAAACACCCAGCACGCCCCTGCGGGCGGTTTATCCTTCAAGCTCGGGTCCTCTACCAGAGGCCTGGGAGCTTGAGGGTCCTGCGCAGTATCTTAGCTGTTCCCAGGACTGCGCTCTTCTGGACAGAGATCTCCGATGTTGTTCCCGGGATCTGCTGGAGCCACTCGCCTAGCTTGGGAGTCACCGCACCTAGTGCTCCGATTACCACGGGGACCACCGTTACCTTCACCCTCCACATCCTCTCGAGCTCTTCTCTGAGCCCTTGGTATTTCTCCAGCTTCTCGTGTTCCTTCTTCCTGATATTGCTGTCATTCGGAACCGCTACATCGATCACTACGGCTGTCTTCTTCTGTTTGTCTACCACCACTATGTCCGGTTGGTTAGCCACCACCATTTTGTCCGTCTGTATCTGGAAGTCCCACAGGATCTTAGCTCGGTCATTCTCCACCACCCTTGGGGGCATCTCCCATTTTGACCTCGGGACTTCCAGGTTATACTCGGCACAGATGTTCCTGTACACTATGCCAGCCACTTGGTTATGGCGTTCCATGTATGCCTTGCCTGCTAGCATCTTGCACCCTGCTGTTATGTGCTGGATTGTCTCTGGGGCATCTTTACACAGCCTGCACCTGGGGTCTTGCCTGGTGTGATAGACCCCAGCCTCTATGGATCTTGTACTCAGAGCTTGTTCTTGTGCTGCCATGATTAGTGCCTCTGTGCTGTCTTTCAGTCCAGCTTTGTCCAGCCACTGGTAGGATTTCTGGATATCAGCCACCTCCTCTATCTGCCGGTGGTACATACCGTGCAGGGGCCTGTCCTTCCATGATGGTTCCTCGTCTCCCTCCTCTTTCTTGGGTTTCTGCTGCCTGAGGTATTCACTGAGCACTCGGTCAGTTGGGGCCATCTTCCCAATGTATTCTTGGATGTTCGTTGTCTCATCCTGGACTGTGGTGCTGACACTCACCAGTCCCCGGCCCCCTTCCTTCCGCTTAGCGTACAGCCTCAGGGTGCTGGACTTGGGGTGAAACCCTCCATGCATGGTAAGGAGCTTTCTTGTCTTTATGTCAGTGGCTTCTATCTCCTCCTTTGGCCAGCCTATTACCCCAGCAGGGTACCTGATCACGGGCAGGGCGTACGTGTTGATGGCCCGGATCTTGTTCTTACCATTCAGCTGACTCCTCAGGACTTGCCTGACCCTCTGCAGGTACTTGGTGGTTGCAGCCTTTCTAGCGGCCTCTTCATGGTTCCCATTTGCCTGCGGGATCCCCAGGTACTTGTAACTGTCCTCTATGTCTGCAATGTTGCCTTCTGGTAGTTCAATCCCCTCAGTTCTGACTACCTTCCCTCTCTTTGTTACCATCCGACTACACTTCTCCAGTCCGAACGACATTCCAATGTCATTGCTGTATAGCCTGGTAGTGTGGATCAGTGAATCGATGTCTCGTTCACTCTTGGCATACAGCTTGATGTCATCCATGTACAGGAGGTGGCTGACAACTGCTCCGTTCCGTAGTCGGTATCCGTAGCCAGTCTTGTTAATGATCTCACTGAGGGGGTTCAGGCCTATGCAGAACAGCAGTGGGGACAGAGCATCTCCTTGGTAGATCCCGCACTTGATGGTGACTTGTGCTATGGGCTTGGAGTTGGCCTCTAGTGTTGTACGCCACATCCCCATTGAGTTCCTGATGAAGGCTCTTAGGGTCCCATTGATCTTGTACAATTCTAGGCATTCCAGTATCCAGCTGTGGGGCATTGAGTCATAGGCCTTCTTGTAATCAATCCAGGCAGTGCACAGGTTGGTCAGTCTGGTCTTGCAGTCTCGGCTGACTGTTCTGTCTACCAGTAGCTGGTGTTTTGCGCCTCTGGTATTCTTGCCAATTCCTTTCTGTGTCCCACTCATGTATTGACCCATGTGCCTGTTCATCTTAGCCGATATGATGCCTGACAGGAGCTTCCATGTAGTACTGAGGCAGGTTATTGGTCGGTAGTTGGAGGGGACCGGTCCCTTCTTGGGGTCCTTGGGGATCAGGACCGTCCGACCTTCGGTTAGCCATTCCGGGTGTCTCTCGTTAACTAGCAGCTGGTTCATTTGTGCTGCCAGACGCTCGTGGAGTGCAGTCAGCTTCTTTAGCCAGTAGGCGTGAACCATGTCGGGCCCTGGTGCTGTCCAACTCTTCATACTGGAGACCCTTTCTTGGATATCTGCCACTGTGATGGTTACTGGACCCTGTTCAGGGAGGTCGCTGTGGTCTGCCCTCAGATCCACTAGCCACTGAGCATTGCCGTTATGGGTTGCGTCCTTCTCCCATATGCTCTTCCAGTATTGCTCCGTCTCCAGCCTTGGTGGTGCTGTTCTCTTATTGTTCCCTTGCCACTGAGAGTACACCTTTGCTGGTTCTGTGGAGAACAGCTGGTTTATTCTCCTGCCTTCTATCTCTCTGGTGTACCTCCTCAAGCGGCTGGCCAAGGCTGTGAGTCTTTGCTTGGCAGTTTCCAAG